AGGACCGGCCTCAGGGTGTGCGAGCTGTGTGACCGCACAGGGCTTCCGACTCCAAATTTTTATCATCTTCAGTGAAAGCGTACATATTATCAAAACGCGGAAATGTCAAATAACGTTGTGCTCAGCAAAGTTGCTAATCGTTGTTTTTTCACTCCCATCTCTCATGGCCTGGGTTCGAATCCCTGCACGCTTTCATCTTTGTTATTTTTGTTTTTGTTTTCCTCTTGAGGTAATAAGGGTCTTTTCTGTCATACTGAGCATGTGTGGGGGTTCAAATTATTTTGGGTCCTTTTAGAAGATAATAATGAGGTAGATTTTTTTGTTCTTCTTTTTAAATAATATGTAGTTTAATTTCATTCATTAATTTCCACATGGCGTATTTAATTGGTGCATGTTGCTGACATGACGACATGTTAACAGTAAATGGGACGGAATTTAATAGCATGGATCAATTGATTGGTTTTAAAAAAATTGAGGCATTTAATTTATTAAAAAAAATAGTTTAGAAATCGATTCAAACTGAGGTTTTATAGTTCAAGGGTAAATGATAATTCACTCTACTCTTAATTACTCTCTAATTTAATAGACGGTGATTAAGTTGTAAAAGCAGACACATTGCCCGAACTAATAGCATTTTATTTTCTTTTATATACAGAGTTATATTTTAGACCAGGCCCGAAATCTTGGAGGGGCCCTGCTAAACATCCGAGCGGGCCCGACTCCCTATATATGGCTTCTGCTTCATTGCACCATGCATACTTCTCATCCAATTCATATATCCCATTTGTAATCAAATTTTTGCAAGCCATTTCCCAAATTGGAAGGCCACTGATATCAAACACTCGTCGTACCCAGTGCATAAGACTCCCGTTTTACGAAGGGTCTGGGGGTGAATGAAAAGTTCGAAAAGGCACCGAATTTCATTAGTGTGCTTAGAAGGGTATCCTATAGGATGTTTTGTTGTAGTACTGTAATCAGGAAATACACGCTTTACAAAAACTGAGATTTACAAAGCTGGTACTGATCACTTTTCTCCTAAATAATTTCTCATCCATAGATGATGAGCAGCACTGTAGTCGGTAGAGAACAAGAAATAAAAATATGGGTGTATATGTACTGTAGTTGGTGCTGTAGCAACTCAATTCAATTACTTTTCCCAGTTTCTCCTCATCTCTAATAAAATTTGTGGAAAATCTAACAAGGGTTTCTTTCTTAAACTAAGTTACCATATAAAAAAAAACATCAATGAGAGCAATAAACAGACTGTCAACGGGTTGCATTCATAGACCATCCCCTTTTGTATAATTTTGCAATCAAAGAAATCAGAAAAGGTGGTTGAGTGTACCTTCTGTAAAGATTGAAGAACACAAAGGTTTTACAGTAAAGCTTTGAAGAAATGAAGAACACAGAGAAGGATGAATCTCAGAAAATGCAGAGAGAAAGAGATCTTTTCTTATTGATCAAGTTATTTACAATACAAGAGAGAATCGGTTTTATATGAGTTATTACAAAGCTTGCTCACTAAGGTACAGTAAAAGATAAGATCCTTATTGCAAGATCATTTAAGATTCTAATCTTAACTAATTCATAACAGCTCACAACCAACTTGTCTAACAACCTCGCTAATCTAATGACAAGTGGCATCTTACGAGCCTTTGATTTCATCACTCTTACACCATCAAACTGATATGGAAGAGATCTTTAATAGAATTATCACAATGAGAAATTCATTCTCAGTGCACAGTAAGATTAAGAGAGAATGAAATGCAATCAAGTATCAGCAATAGAGCTAATAAGATATTATAAAAAAAAAAGATAGAAACGTAAACAGAAAATTGTAAGTGATACATATAGCTTAGTTGTAACCGTGGTTTCTTGCAGCCCTACTTTATTAAAGCATCTAATTGTTTCTGTACAGATTTTAACAACTTATCGACACATGAGTCGTTATCTGTTAGTGATCAAACCTCCAGACCTGCTCAACCAAACCTTGCAGCTAGCAACAATGGGGAAAAGGGAATTGGAGAAGATAAGATGAAGCACAATTCTCAATTTCTGTATTGATTTCAACCACACATTGCAACTGAATTACAAAAGCATATATGCTTTGCAAATGCCAGATGGCGAAATGCAAAACAATCTAACAACTTATAAGTTCTATTACAATTTTTCCCCAAAAGTTAACATATTAACCCCAAGATTTGTTTAATATCAAAACAGATCTCAAACCATAACAATACTCCCCCCCCCCCTTCGACAAAACCTTGTCCACAAGGTTCAGACTTGGAAATCTGGAAACTTCATTGTAAAGGTGTCATAATCCTCCCAGGTGGCTTCACTGTCATCATGATCAACCCATTGAATAAGCAATTGGACTCCTGCAACAGTGCCTTTCTTATACATCCTGCGAGCTAGAACAGCCTTAGGAATAGCTTGGAACAAGCCATCATCAGTAACCTGCGGAAGAGTGGCACCAGCAACCACATCAGTACCCAATTTCTTTTTAAGATTGCTCACATGAAACACTGGATGTATTTTGGTACCCTCAGGGAGTTTCAATTTGTAGGCTACAACTCCAATCCTTTCTAATACTTCATAAGGTCCAAAGTAGCGAGGTTGAAGTTTATGATACTGGTGTGGTGCTAAGGACTGAAGCTGATATGGTACTAGTCGTAGGTAAACCAAGTTACCAACTTCAAACACCGTTTCACTCCTTCTCTTGTCAGCTTGAACTTTCATCCGGTTTTGAGCCAAGTCAAGGTTATGCTTGAGTACATCCAGGATCCTATCCCTCTGTTGTAAGAGTTGCTTCACTGATTCCACCCGTGTAGACCCTTCTTCATAAGGACAAATATGTGGAGGAGGGTAACCATAGACCACTTCAAAAGGGGTAAAGCCAGAAGAAGTATGATAAGAGGTGTTAAAACACCATTCAGCCCAAGACAACCATTGCACCCATTTCTTCGGTTGGCCTCCAACAAAACACCGTAAGTAAGTCTCTAAACATCTATTCAACACCTCTGATTGACCATCACTTTGTGGATGGTACCCCAAACTCATTGACAACTTAGATCCTTCCAATTTAAAAAATTCCTTCCAAAAATTGCTCAAAAAGATGGGATCGCGATCACTCACTATAGAGCTTGGCATGCCATGGAGCTTAAACACATTATCAATGAAGACTTTGGCCACTGGCAGCACTATAGGGGTGCGCTAAAGCCATGAAATGGCTATATTTGGACAGCCGGTCGACTACCACCATTATGACAGACTTGGTTTTACAGAGAGGCAAGCCCACAATAAAGTCCATGCTTACAGCAATCCACACCTTACTTGGAATAGGTAGGGGTTGTAAGAGTCCAGGAGGAGACACTGTTTCAAATTTGTTTTGTTGACAAATACCACATTGAGACACAAAAGCTTGGATGTCCTTTTTCATACCCTGCCAATAATACCGTTTTTTGATCCGGTGATAAGTCTTTAAAATGCCCTGATGTCCAGCTGCAGGAGCAGAATGATACTCCTCAATAATCTTCTGTCTCCATGGAGAAATCAGACTAAGTACAATTCGATGCTTGTAGCACAGAAACCCATTGTCCAAAGTATATTTGGATGCAACTGAAGCCCCTGGTGTACCGTGGGTGGGAGGGAGCACTTCCCTGGTCTTGGCAATTACCTAGTCATCCTTCTCGATATCTCACCGGAGCTCGTCTAACCACCCAAAGTAGGGGTAGGAAATGGCAGCACAACTCATCTCAATGGCAGAAACTGAAGGGTCACCAATATCAAATTGTAGTGCTTCAGGAATTCTCAAAAGAGCATCGGCCACCACATTATCATTGCCCTTCTTGTAATGTATCTCGTAATCAAACCCAAGGAGCTTAGAAACCCACTTCTGTTGGAAGGAAGTATTGGCCCGTTAACTGAGAAAATATTTAAGACTGTTGTGGTCAGTCCTTATGATGAAGTGTCGCCCTTGTAAGTAATTTTGTGATTTCTTTACTGCATGAACTATGGCAATAAGTTCTCACTCATAAGCAGAGAAGGCTTGGTTCTTTGGGCCTAAGGCTTTGCTTGTATAAGTTATGGGTCGTTTGCCTTGCTGTAGGACTGCCCCAATGACATTCCCTGAGGCATCACATTCTATCTCAAAAGGCTGTGTAAAATCTGGAAAAGCTAATACCTGCGGAGACATCATAAGGGATTTAAGATGATCAAATGCATCCTGGGCAATGGCATCCCAAGTAAACCCGTCCCTTTTAGTTAAATTGTACAGCGACTGACATATTTTTCCATAGCCAGGGATGAACTTCCTGTAATAGCCAGTAAGCCCAAGGAAACCCCTTAACCCTTTCACTGTCTTTGGAGGAGGATAGCCTATAACTTAGATGGATCAGCTTGCACTCCATCTTGAGAGACTACATGGCCTAAATACTCCACACAATTCTGCCCAAAAGAACACTTAGAGTGTTTGAGAAATAATTGATTCTGTTGTAAAACCTGAAACACTAATTGCAAATGGTGCAAATGATCTGTCCATGTTTTACTGTAGACCAAAATGTCATAAAAAAGACGAGAACAAATTTTCGCAGAAAAGGTTTGAATAAATCATTCATGAGGTTTTGAAATGTGGCCGGAGCATTAGTAAGCCTAAAAGGCATTACTAAAAACTCATAGTGGCCCTCATGGGTACGGAATGCAGTTTTCTCAACATCTTCAAGACTCATTAGTATTTGATGATACCCGGATCGAAGATCAAGTTTAGAGAAGTAAACTGCACCAAAGAGCTCATCAAGTAAATCATCAATAAGTGGTATTGGATACTTGTCCTTCACAGTCAGTGCATTTAGCTCCCGATAATCAATACACATACGCCAAGTGCCCTCTTTCTTCTTAACCAAGAGGACAGGGAAGGAAAAAGGACTGTGGCTGGGACGAATAAACCCCGAGTCAAGTAATTCTTGCACAGTTCTTTCAATTTCAGTCTTCTGCATAAGACCATAATGATATGGCCGCAAATTTAAAGGTTTGGCGCCTGGAACCAAAGGAATGTGGTGGTCATAACCCCGAGAAGGTGGGAGCTTAGAAGGTAACACCAAGATGGCTTCGAAGGCCCCAAGTAACTCATTTAGTTCGTGTGATTATTAAGGAGATAATGCAGAATGGTGCAAGAACTGACCCTTAATAGAATAGAGGAAGAGACCCAAATGAGAGTTAGAAAACTCTTTATCCAAGTGTTGCAATGAAACTTCCTGAATAAGTGGGGCAGTATATGGGCTGTAAGTCAGTTTGTAGTGCTGAGCATTAGCAGAAAATTCCATGGTCAATAGTTGGAAGTCCCAAAGAACAGGACTTACAGAAAACAACCACTGGACCCCAAGCACCACGTCACAACCACCTAAAGGAAGAGAGTATAAGTCAACTACACAATTGTACCCTCCTAAACAAAGGGCAGTGTCCCTACAACAACCCGAGCTCCAGATTGTTCCTCCATCAACGATCAACCTCAAAGGCTTGAGTACTTTGTGCTTGGTGACCCCATTTCTTAAGCAACCGAGAATCAATGAAATTATGAGTACTCCCTGAGTCCAATAAAATCTTGACAGATTGTCCAAGAACCACACCATCAACCTTCATAGTTTGAACAGACTGTTTAGCAGTGGTTCCATAAAAAGCACACTCACTTAAGGACATTGCCAATAACTCAGAAGGAGCATCATCAACATCAGTGAATTCACAATGAGCATCAGAATCAACAACATCCAACATGAGTAATTGTTTTAGGCCACATTTATGCCCCGGAACCCATTTATCAGGACAAAACTAGCATTCTCCTTTGTTTCTCTTCAATTGAATCTCGGCAGGAGTTAATTTCTTAACAGGCACAGGACCAGCTCGAGGATCCGCAGGGGCAGAAGGAGGAAGAAGTAGCGGTTGAGGTTTAACAGGGATAGAAGTTCGAGGTGCAGTTGCTCTGAGCTTAGTAAGTTTAGAGTCTAATTGCCCAACAATAGCGATAGCCTCATGTACAGTTGCCAATTTCAAAAGCTTAACATCAAACTTCAATTCACGTTTTAATCCCAAAAAAAAGCTCTTAAGTAGAATAGGCCCCATTACAGTGGTACGATTGGCTAATCTACGAAATTCCACAACGTAATCGCGAAGGGTACCTGTTTGCCTCAATTTGAATAATGCCTCAGCACTATCCTTGAACTCATTTGGGCCAAATTCCCTACAAAAAACCTTAGTGAAGGCCAACCAATCCGGAGTAGATGTGAGACAATCCATCCATTGAAACCACTGCAATGCTTCCCCTTCCAGATGAAAGGATGCAGTGAGCACACGTTGGTGCTCCAGAATGTTGTAGAATGTGAAAAACTGCTCCGCTCTGTAGATCCAGGCGAGTGGGTCATCATCGTCGAAAAAACGGGGAAAATCCACCCGCTGTGTCCACTGAGTTCTATGAGGATGCCCCCCACCCGGCCAATTGAGGTGCCGATGAGGTGGATGTAAATCCAAATTAGGAGGAAGTGGAAGAGGTGGAAAGAGTTGAGGCATAGAAATGTCGCTGATGCCCTGAAAAGAAAACTCATGGCGAAACTGCTCAAAGTACACCGGAAGGCGTCGATCGAGATGAACGGGAAGATCAGACTCCAAAGCGGAGTGCACAGAGGTATTCACCACATCGGCGATGATAGATTGAAGATCTGGAAAAAAAGCTTCCAGAGAAGAGAGGCGAGCGTCCATGGTAGCAGAGCGGGTAGCAGCGGGTTTACAGGGCATACACGGAGGGACCAGGATCGAAGGGTGATACCAATGTTAGTGATCAAACCTCCAGACCTGCTCAACCAAACCTTGCAGCTATCAACAATGGGGAAAAGGGAATTGGAGAAGATAAGATGAAGCACAATTCTTAATTTCTGTATTGATTTCAACCACACATTGCAACTGAATTACAAAAGCATATATGCTTTGCGAATGCCGGATGGTGAAATGCAAAACAATCTAACAACTTATAAGTTCTATTACAATTTTGCCCCAAAAGTTGACTTATTAACCCCAACATTTGTTTAATATCAAAACTGATCTCAAACCATAACATTATCAGTATCCTTGAGGCTCTTGCGTACATGATATAAACATGAAGAGTTCTTCGTGGTAGCTGCATATCCTGCACATGCAATATTGACCTATAAATATTCATGACCACTAGTGGTCAAAGTAGTAGTACCTCAATTGGTCTTACACATGGCCCCAAAAGCCAATTCAACAATCAACTTGATAGATAGTGACAGGCCCCGACCCTGATATTCTCGGAATACCAAGATAGGCACGTGCTGGCCGACACCCGAGGGTGACGAAAGCCATTTATTGAGTGCAAATGATGAGAATAAGGAGTAAATAAGACTTATAAATATAAAAGAATAAAGCATATGCATTTAAGGAATGTGTTCAAAGCATACGACTAACTAGAATACTAAAAGAAATAATATAAAAATTGAATGAACAAGGAATGGGTCCCACACCGAGAGGACTCGAAGATGCCAATGCAGAAGTGCCTGGATGCCGGGATTGTATGTCTCGATTCTAAGTCCTGAAGGGGGCGTAAAACAAACATGAGTGGACCAATTTGATATAGATATAATAAAACAGTTATCAACGTACTAACCCCCAGGTTTTATGAAAACACATATATAATGATAAACATAGGTTTTCCGAAACCTAGCATGCCGTGCAATGTCTTAAATCATAACTTGTATATATAGTAATCACTAGTGAATTGTCCGATAACCCCCAGACCCCATGCCAGCTCCCCGTCTCTGAGCAGACAGTCAGAGAAAAATACACTACAGGCCCCTTGCCGGCTCCCTGTCCCTGGTCTTAAATGCCAGATGAAACACCCTCCAGGCCCTATGCCAACACCAAATCGTCGCCCGGGACGGACCGGAATCTATCCTTACGTCCCATAGCAGAAAAGACCACTAGGTAAGTACAAAACCATTGAATATATCAATATTGAAAAATAACTTCATAGTATAAAGTCATCCATTATCCATACTATAAAGAGGTGTTCTAAACATGTTATAAATATCATATCGTCATCCATCAGATATTCTATAAGAACATGGGTTATAGGAAAAATAGTAATAATTCAATCTAACCTCAGTAAACATGTTATCTCATAAAGTACTTCATAAAACATAAGTATTAAATCATGCTTTTCATGTATGCATTTCTATTATTAAAACATGTTTTTAAAGGGGTCCACTCACCGTACACTCATGGTGCAAAGCTGTACCAAAAAGATATAGCGGAATCACCGTTAATAATTGCACCTATTCACATAAAGGAGTACCTTTAGTCAAACTATATTCAAACGATTGAATTTGGGAAAACGGACTTCAAAAACGGGTCCAGGACGTCGAAATTAGCCTAGGAGATGTCCTGAACGAAACACCGAAAAGTCAACTCAAAAGTCAACGTTGACCGTTGACTGGTCAAAGTCAAAGTCAACTCTAACCGTTGACCAAGTCAACAGTCAGAGTCAACTGGTCAAGGTCAAAGTCAGATTGGGCTTGGATTGGGTTGGGCTGAAAGGGCCTTAGGGGTTTTGGGTTTTAACTAAAGCTAAAGGGATTTGGGAAAAGGGCTGAAAGCCCACTTTATAATTGGCCCAAGGCCTTATTTATAATTCAGAAAATGAATAAAAACCTTAAAAGGTTTTTGGGCTTGACTAATGGGTTACGGGCCCTAAACCTAATGGCCTGAAGGCCTTTTGGTCCTAAACAACTAACAAATAAATAAAAACAAAAATTAAAAGGATTGGGCTAAGGCTTAAGCAAAACGGGCTTAAGGCCCGTGGGTTTGACAAACGGCCCAAAGGGCCTGGTGCTTCTACACGGCCTGAAAGGCCTAGTTTCGCTGGAGAACACCGGAGCTTCAACAGGCTCCGGCCGACCACCACGCACAATCCTAGACTCCAATCTAGGTACCAAAATGAAGAGCAAGACAAGGGGATAGATTCCGCCTTCGACTTGCCAGAAATGGGTGTCCCTACACCCGCCTTCGATTTCATCCTAAAACCTCCAAATTTACGAAATAAAACTCAATTAAATCACAACTCACAAGATTCAAGGACGAAATAGAGGGATTTGAGGCTTACCTCACAGGGAAAGTACAAAAATCTCGCCGGAGTTCCTTTTCCGGTTTCTGGGGTCGTGGGAACGAGAGAGAGAGAGAGAGAGAGAGAGAGAGAGAGAGAGAGAGAGATAGAGCAAGACGAGATGGTGCATGGTGATGGGTCTTCCTCGCGTACGCGTGCGCGATGGTGTGCGTGTGTGTGTTGCGATGCAGAGAAGAGAGATATGAGTGAGAGCCGAGAGGGAGAGATAGGAAAAATAGAAAAGAAGAAGGAAGAAGGAAGAGTTCACCGGCCGGGGGGGGGGACAGAGAGAGAAGAAGGAGAAATTGCTTAGGGTGCTGCCACGTGGCAGATTTAGAAAGAAAGGGATCCAATGCTTTGGATCCTGATTTGGTAGACAAAAAGGATGAAATTGATATATTTAAAACATTTAGGGGTAATTACAAACATATATCTTTATAATTAGGGGGCGGGTGTTACAAATAGGACGACACGTAATTGATGGTTTTATCCAAACAGACTTTTTATTTATTTTTTAAAATGAGATGAATCAAACCTCTTCGTTTGCAAGTTTGCAACAATTTGAAATCTAATTAAAAGAAATAATCCATCAGATGTATTATTTTATATTAGCAACCATTGAAATCCAAACCCCATCGCACAATCAACATTCAATTTGGTGTTGAAGAAAGAAAACAATGAATCACCCTCTCGCGGTTGAATTAGGACTTTCATCTCCTTTTTTTTTTTTTTTTTTTTTTTTTTTTTAATTTCGCATTCACAAGAATTGAAATCAACCTAATGTCCAGTACGTTGTGAAAGGGAGAGAGAAGTTTTAAACTACTCTAGCCTAAGGAAAGAGAAATTTAAATTTGAGTCTAAAAGTGTATGTACACTACATAGTTTTAGAAATATTATTTTCTACTAAAACACACACACAAACTATATATATTATGACAATTTTTTGCTCCATACATGTAAGGAGCCATGCATCCTTCCTCGAATGAAAATGTGGCAACATTTTATTGTATAAATTTCATAATCGGGATTGGTTTTTTTTTTTTTTTTTTTACCATCATCTAAATATCATCTCTAAAAAAATTTATTCAATTTAAAAATTGTTTAGTCATTCATAAATGTCGGATAAATCTAAAAATGATCTTTAAATAATGATAATTAAGAATGGATGCGATTATGACGTTTGTATGATAAAATAAAGAACATGTCATCATATATGGAGAAGTAGCTTGATGAAAATACAAATTGGATTATTTCAATAAAATAGAATAATGGAGAGACTTTCAATAAAGGTTATTTGTTGTTGCGTATCACGAAAATTGAGGTATTTGATTTTTGATATCGTTCGAGTTAATGTAGCTTTGATTTCTCATGTCAGTTTTGAGACGATATAACACATATATCGTTCAAGTTAATTGTAGCTTTGGTTTCTCAGAGCAAGTTCACCCCTAAGGACTTTGCGCCAGCACCCAGCGCATTTATCCACTCAAGTGAACAGTAACAGACTCCAATGAACAGTAATAGGCCAAGGCATCTCCACCCCTAAAAAAATGCGCTGGCACCTAGTGAAAAAATGCGCCGGCACAAACGATCTCCATCCCTACAAAATGCGCTGGCACCCAGCCCATTTAAAATATTTTTAAATTTTTTCTAAAAGAATAAAAAAATAAAATAGTTTTAATTTCGGATATGATTTTTAACCAATCTCGTCACGCCACGTGTCATTATCTGAACGTACTATTTTGTGAATAGATTTCCACTAAGATTTTCAACCAATCCCGACACGCCATGTGTCATTTCCGTTTTACAATAATTTAGCCAAGATTTCGATAAGATTTTCAACCAATCACGTCATGCCACGTGTCATTATCCGAACGTACTATTTTGTTGATAGATTTCCGATAATATTTTCGACCAATCCTGACATGACACGTGTCATTTCCGGTTTACAATAATTTAGCCAAGATTTCGATAAGATTTTCAACCAATCACGAAGTGCCACGTGGCATTGTCCAAAACCTCATCCTTTCTTTTTTTGGCCATATAAACCCTACATCCCTACATCCATCCTCACACCAAGCTCAATCATTCTTTTTAGCTCATAATCCTTGTTCATCGTTTTCAAATCTTGAGTTCTTATTACAATGTCTTCTTCAAGAAGGGTGTATAAACAGTTGCAGGAGCAACAACAAAGGTTGTTGGCACAACAGGCAAAATTGGCCAATCTCGAGGAAGGTGGAGGTGGAGATGAGGCTTTCTTCATGGAGGAGGATGAGAATGATCACCATAGAAGGCAGAAGGCCTCACATTCCCGTCGTGTCATGGAAGCCGTGGGTCAGATAGCCAAACCAAGACGTGTTGCAAACCTCGATAGAAAAAGGGAAAAACGAGGTAAAAATCTATTGGAAAATTATTTTATTCCCAATAGCATATTCCCTGATCATATTTTCAGACGTTGTTTTAGAATGCAACGAAATTTGTTCAACAAAATCATGAGTGATATTTGCAACCATGATCCATACTTTGTGCAAAAAGAGGATGCTTTTTATGTTCTAGGTCTTATTCCCGAGCAAAAAATTACAACATCCTTGCGAATGCTTGCATATGGAGCATCTGCATATCAAGTGGATGAGATCGCAAGGATGGGAAAAACAACTGTTCTGGAGTCTCTGATGCGGTTTTGCTCTGCAATTGAAGCCCTCTACACCAATGAGTACCTCCGGACACCCACGCCAAGGGACATGTGCAGGCTTCTGAGGAAGGGTGAGATGCGAGGCTTCCCTGGCATGATTGGAAGCATTGACTGCATGCACTGGACTTGGAAAAACTATCCAAGTGCGTGGCAAGGAGCATATGGCGACAGAAAATGAGCCAAAAGCATAATTTTGGAAGCGGTGGCTTCATTTGATACATGGATTTGGCATGCTTTTTTTGGTGTTCCAGGAGCTCAGAATGACCTAAATGTCCTTGCCCAGTCCCCAGTGTTCGACGAACTGCTGCAAGGAAACTCACCAAGATGCACATATTGGGTTAATGGTACCCAATACGAGGGATCATACTACCTTGCAGATGGCATTTACCCAAGGTGGTCAACATTTGTCAAAACAGTGCCACATCCACAGACTGAAAAGGAAAAACACTTTGCAAAATGTCAAGAAGGGTGTAGGAAGGATGTCGAGCGTTGTTTTGGTATCCTGCAAGCTCGTTGGGCGATTATCAAGGCTGCAGCTAGAATGTTTGATGTCGAGGCTCTTCGATCCATCATGATGACGTGTATTATTCTCCACAACATGATTGTTGAAGATGAGTATGATTATGATGCCGTCGATGAATATGAGCCGGATCCGATGAACAACTCAAGAACACGTATCTATTGTGCTCATGACCGGACCGAGGATCCAGTGCAACACGAGCCGTTGGAACGCGATGGACGTTACAATGAATTGATCGTTCAATGGTACACTAATATGCAAGAGCCATACTGGCACATAACCCGCCAGAATGACTTGATTGAGCACCAGTGGGGATTGCATGAAGGCGAAGATAATTAGAATGAGGCTTGTGGTTGAAGAATAAATTGTATTTTTTTTTAAGTTTATGTAATTCTATGTAGTGTGTTTTGTTTTTAAGTTTATTTGGTGAGTTTATGTAATTCTATTTATTTGGTGAGTTTATGTAATTCTATGTAGTGTGTTTTGTTTTTAAATTTATTTGGTGAGTTTATGTAATCTTATTTCATGAGTTTAAATAAAGTACAAAAGAAATAAATTTTTAAAAATAAATAAATAAATAAATAATTACATTAAAATTGCATAATAAATTAAATAAAAATAAATAAGAAATAACATAAAGATTACATAAGAAATTAAATAAAGTTCAAACCTAAAAAAAGAAAAAACATAAGAAATTAAATAAAGTTCTACAAAAATAAGAAATTACATAAAAATTATACAAAGTCTCTCGAGTTAGGATATGTGGTGCTAGGATCTTGGTTGCCATCATTTGTGTAGCTAGAACCCCCTTGACTTGTTTCCGCATCTCTTGCACGCCTCCTTCGCATGACATCTCTTTTTTCCGATGTCCAAAAATATTTAGAATTCGGAGACAATCCTACTAGAGACTTGCTCATAGTGTCACGATCTGCTTGAGCCATCATTTCTTCTCGAAGCAATTCATTTTCTCGATGAAGTGCTTCTCTAACCAGCTCGTTCTCTTGATTAACTACTTCTCTTTGTCTCTCAGCCGCCGCATCACGGGCCTCAGTAGCTGCTAATATTGCTGCCATAGCAGCAACTTTTTCCTCATCTCTAGCCTTTTCCCGTGCCATGTTCAACTCACCTTGGCGAGCAAGTTCCTCCATATATTTAGTGTAGTCATTTTTGGAAGAACTACCTTTTTTCTTTGACACCTTTTTACCTGGAGGCCTGAGGGACTGACGAGTCGGTTGGGTATCGGGCACTTGTTCAGGCGTCCCTTTCGTGTCTTGAAATGTGTCGGCTTCTTGTTCGGCCATGTTTGGTTCTGGAGAACTATGTAGACCCATACCGTGCATGACAACTTCTGGACCAGTTGCCACAATTTTGTATTTAAGGCAATCTTTGACAATTTGCCAACATTCCCATCTAGTGAATGATTTGTTCCCGTTCTTTGAATTGTAGAATGCTTGAGCTTGTAGTGTCTATAAAAATGTGGGATAACATAGTGTTAAAAAATGCAGGTATAACACAAATAAATAAATTCAAAATATTGATACGGGTGGGATGCATATAAATTACATAAAAATGACATAAGAAATTAAATAAAAATTACATAAGAAATTAAATAAATTAAAATTTTGATGCGGGTGG